TCATTCTTGAAGTCAATAAATAGGTACAATGAGGTTGCTATACAAAGAAAATTGGCTAAGATCTATGCTAACATTGTGCAATTGTCCTATAAAGGTTTACAAGGAAAATTGACAAACATCCATGCTGATTTTGTGCGAGACTATGATCCATGCTGATTTTGTGTAATATGCTGATTTTGTGCACGTTGCAATCCCTGTTGATTTGCAATTAGATGGAAATGTCAATATCCATTCTATGTTCGCAAGTGAGAAATTGTCTGCATGGGTTTAAATTAGTCCACGAAGCCTTCATCTGGAGAATCTACATTTGCAAACAGGCATTTTCGCTTTTTCGGCCTTCAGTTCAGTTTGCTGTGAAAGAGAGAAAAAATGACTTATTATTAAGCAGGCAGCATTACGGAGGGAAATAATTAACGGTACTTTTCTAGAGATTAGTGTTTTAATTGAATGGACGATTTTACCCTCCTATGTTTTGGTGAAAATGGTCAAACCTTAGTTTTGGTGGTCAACTAACAATAAATTAGTCAATTTCCATGCATTTGGACTTCAACTGCTTCTTGAAAGGTTCATTGTAGTAATTGCAACAAATGAAAAGTTAGAAATAGTCCACAATATTTTGAAAGATTTGGGGCGCATATGCAATTATTCGTTAAATTAATCATGATGTCCTGCTCTAAAAGTCTCTTTCCACCGTATAGAGATATTGGGTTTTGCCATGGTTGGTACAAACAAAAATTAAATTTTTCGTAGATATTAATAAAAATTGAATGTATGGTTAAAATATATGATCCTTTGATTTTTCGCTAGTGCATGGAATCGTGATCAAGTAATATAAATGACGAATAGAGCGTTGAACCAACGAGAACTGTGTGTTTGATCAAGTTAAAATTAATTGCAACTTTAATCGAACAGCAAACGGGTTGTAATTTTTCTATATTAATTCCTAAATTATCAATTAAATTAGTGAAAGCAAGTGAATGTGTGTTTTCAAATGTGTGAAATGTATTGCTAAAATATTGAATCGCCCCTTGTTATTCCTTTTAGTGTAACAATTAAAGCGAAAATTTGAAATAATTCTTGTTAGTCAATGTTCTTAATTTAATTGAAAGCCTCTCACAATAGCAATCAAATCTATTCTTCTTATGTGATTCTTCTATATCTCGATGAAATATGCAAACATGATAAATGCATTAAAAAGTGTTGGAACATCTATTGAAGCCATATAAGGTATATATGTATGCTTCTATATTCTATCGAACCTCACAATGTTTATTATATTGTGCTTCCCTATTGTCTCTCTCGATAATAGTAAAATTCACTAACAATTCAGTTGGTGATCAAGCAATTAAAAAGAATGATAAAAATGATAATAAACATCCATAAATAAAAATAAATTAAACTCAAAATAATTAATTAAAAACTAAAAATATCATAACAAGGGTTCATCTTACTCTAACAATGTATACAACCAGCCAAACATATCAAAATTATAAGAAATCATATTTAAGTGAAAAATACATAACTCGAATTTTTGATAAATTGAGAAGATGAAGACGAATTTTGAAATCTTGAATCTCTTCAATAGTTTCATGATGAATCTTTACTTGCGCCTGCTTTTCTTTGCCCAAAAATCAATTTTGAATATTCATTTGATTGAATTCTTGTAAGTCCCATTCAATTTCCTCACAAAAACTATAAATTTTCCTTATTTGATAATAATAATTGATTAATATTGGAGTATGAGATGTATACGAGAAGTTTATGAGAGGTCTTTAATGTTTTTCACTGTAAAAAATTTCTAGGAGTTGAAAATTAGTTGAAAATCACGTCCAAATTAGTTTTCAAAAGAGTTCCAATCGAATAAGGAAAGTTACCTTTGTGATCATGTTTTTGTATCTACACAATAGTCTGTATTTTGATCATAACTTTCTCTCTTGATATTCGATTTAGGCGATTTAAAGTGCGTTGAAAATATAACTCAAATGGGTACAATTTTTCTAAAGAGAAAATTTTCAATTTAGACATTTACTATACTAAAAATGGGTCTCAATTTTTGACTAAAAATCTGGAAGATATCTCGTGTGATTGAAAATTGACTTATGATAAGATTCTTATCATATTCCATTC